ACTTCGGAAAGTAGACTAGACAAACATTATCAAAAACAGAACCTGAAGTAAATTCTAAAAAAACGACTTCATAAACATACGCAAACAAGCGAACAAATCAAAAACGAAAACGACTTCATAAACAAACGAACAAACCCATAAACGAAAACGGCTTCAAAAACATACGCAAACAAACAAACAAACCAGAAACGAAAATGACTTCATAAACAAACGAAAAACAACAAACAAAAACGAAAACGACTTAAAAAACGTACGTAAAAAAGACAAAACAAAAAATAAATGTCAGTGATAGTCTTTTGTTACAACATCCTTCCAACCGAGGGCTTAATCCTGCATCCCGGACGGTTTGCACTCGCCGGCGTTTCATAGTTGGATAATAAGGATAACTGGCTCCCCCTTCCCCCCCCATCTCCCCCTCTCCTCGCCATTAATCCTTCTCCTCCCCTTCCCCCCTCCCCCACCTCCCCATTCCCCTCCTCTCCTCACCTCCCCCCCTTCCCCCCTCTCCCCTCCCCCTCCTCTCCTCTCCTCCCTTAATCCTTCTCCTCACCTCCCCACCTACCCCTCCCCCCACCTCCCCCATTCCCCTCCATTCACCCCCCCCCAACCCCCACTCCATTTCCCCTCCCTCGCCTTCTGCAGGATGTGGGGTTTGCCCGCAGGCGGAGGAGGATCATAACAAAGGACTAGAGTGACGTATGCTGTAATGGGCGCCTCTGCTTGCCTTCTTGGCTGCTTGCTTGCTGGGCTAAAATTATTTGTTTTTGGAGGGGTGAGGGTAGGGGGAGGGGAGGGAGGCATGGAGGGGGGTGGGGGAGAGGGAGAGAGGCAAGGAGGGGGATGTAAGGAGGGAAGGTGGGAAGGAAGGAGGGAGGGAGGAAGAGAGAGAGAGAGAGAGAGAGAGAGAGAGAGAGAGAGAGAGAGAGAGAGAGAGAGAGACAGACAGACAGACAGACCGAGAAAGGATACGAGAAAGAGACCGAGACCGAGAAAGAAAACGAAAACGAAAAAGAGAAATAAAGAAAACTAAAGAAAAAAAAGAAAACAGGAGATAATTATGTTCACTTATTGCTTCGGTCATCGAATAATCAATCACCTGCTTTGTCAATTCGCTATTTGGCTTCATTCAGTGCTTCGTTCACAGGCACCTTCACTATTCCACTTTGGATTTTGTAACTGAATTTAAAAATGAAGAAGTGGAATCTATTGAATAAAAGAAAAGAATAAACAGGTAAATATATGATTAGTTATTTGGTTCAGAAAATGAGTATTTAGATGGTACAGAAAACTTATAAAAAACAAAATAATAGATAATAGTTATTATGATACAGAGCAGAAAATAAAACAATGTTACAGAAAATCATCAATTAAAAAATACGCAAGACTCATATATAATACAATGCCTAAAACTTGTATCATTCAATTTCAATAAAACATTCCAAAATATATAAAATTCACCGTACTAACTACAAGTTTCACCCTCATCATAATCTTCGCGTTTTATTAACCACCTTATATATTCGCGCCTGAGATCCGCCGTTAACATTAATCCGTGACACAGAGAGAGAGGTGAATAACGTTCTTATTTTATTATGTCATTAAGCAAGCAATTAGGGAGAGGAAGGCATGCAATAACCTAGTAATAAAAGTACAGAAGTGCTTCAAAGCAGAACAGCAAAACGGCCTACTCTTGTTTTTAACGGTTTGCAAGCACGGGTTCTAATGTGATCAACTCGGGGGCGGTGTTTGAATATTTACCTTTATCTCTTTCTTTCTTTCTTATCTCTTTCTATTTCTGTTTGAATATTTATCCTGATTTATCTTTCTATCCGTCTAGATCTGTAAAGCTATATCTATGTCATTTCTACTTATGTTCATATATCTATATATCTAGCGATCTATCTGTCTATATATGTTTACATAGATAGATAGAAGCACCAACATGGTGTGTCAGAGATAGATAAATAGAGAGAGAGGGAGGTAGAGACAGAGAGAGGGAGAGAGAGAGAGAGAGAGAGAGAGAGAGGGAGAGAGAGAGAGAGAGAGAGAGAGAGAGAGAGAGAGAGAGAGAGAACAGACAGACAGACAGGCAGGGACAGAGACAGACAGACAGACATATACAGAATCACAATCAACAAGATTTTTACACACTGCCAGGGCATCTCATTACTACCTAATTAACTAATGCTGAACAAGTGAGTTATGAGGTGACCATATATGAACACTCGCCTGCGTAGCATCAGTGTCCGAAGATAAACGCCGACATTAAATAGGATTAAAAACAATAACTGACAACCTAAAGGAGAAAGGGAGTGCTTGTTTATGTTAACGAACTGTTTGCTTAAATAACTACTTTACAGTTGATTGTAGTTTCATGGATAATAATAGCACCTGTTACCAAAACTTAAGAAAAATCGACAAAAATATAAAAGAAAAGAATGGACAAAGACAGACAAAACATTAATGAAAAATAATATATACGTTGAAACTACGATAATAA